AGCGCGCATGTTCTGGGAGATGTTCAAGATAGCGGGTTTTGAAGGAACTTGGAACGCCAAGGAGAAGATAGATGGAAAGAAAATAACGGAGGTTGAGAAGGGGAATTCGGCTTTGGTTCTTGTTTCGGCTTTGCTTCCACCTCCAAGCATGGTGGAAGTCACTCCCTGAGTGACTCGAGTCCCTCTGTTTGTTGATTTTCCATTTTTTAGCTTTCACCCGTTTCCTTGTTTGGAATATGATTTTTTCACATGGAGGTGGGACGGGGCTCGTGTAATGATAATTTGATGTTATGTATGCAAACAGATGGGTCTGGTTTCTTTTTGGTAAAATTTGAATTTTGATTTTAATTTAAATACATAAAGTTTGAATTTTTATGTGAATTTAGTATGATTTTCACTAAAGTTATTTTATTTTTTTTGTCCAGTAAATTTTATTTAAAAAATATTTTCACTAATATTTATCTAGATTGATTGGATTATACATATATACACAAACAATGAAATTAATAAATAATAAAAATAAATTTAATAATATTATTAATTTATTAATCAATTAACTAGTTAAAAACATTATTTTTAACTATTTTTATAGCGAACCATTTGATAAATGCCTTTAAAACCATTTTCTAAATGTGTTTTTTAAATCAAAAATTAAAACTGTATATTAAGTTAAAATATTTGTAAATATTAAAATAATAAAAATTTATTTATATTAGTATTTATACAGTAATATTAGTATATAAATTCTTATTCATATAATATACTGAACAGAAGACGTGGCAGCAGCGGATAGATTTAGCTTTGAATTTGGTGAAACATTTTTAATTTTATCTGTTTGATAGAAAAATATTTTAAAAAGGCAGAAGCTGCAGAAAGTGCTACTTAATGCGTTCAGGTGTTCCCTGTCTGCTGCAGACGCGCGATAAGAGAGCTGTATGGTGGCGTCACCTGTGAGGCCCCCGACGCCGATTCCCTATGGTTTTAACTCCTTACAATTAAACAAATGGACCAAACACGACTCTATATATAGCGTGAATTGGCGCCCAAAATCCTTACAATTAAAAAACACATAACTAGAAGAGATCGAGAGGGAGAGGAGTAGAGAGTTGCCGAGAAAGAAAAATGAGAGTGAGATCCGAGCACGAATTATAGGTTTTCCTTACAACAGGTCATTGGTTCGAAATGCAGAAGTTAGGTCTGCCAAGTATGAAGAGCCTGGATCAGCTCAGATCGCTATCCGGAGCGTCGAAGAGTTTCTCCTTCTCTTCTCGCCCTTCTTCAGATTCCATCTCATCGGGAGGTTTCGCCAATTTGAAGCTCACTGCAGGTTCTATACGCAATTTTGGTTCTATTTTTGAGTTGTCGCCGAAGAATTTGAATGGCTTTGATGATTGGTGGTTTTAATATGTTTGTTTCCAGAGAAATTGGTGAAAGAGCAAGCTTCTGTGAGAACTGACCTGGAATTGGCGGTATTTTTTAATGCACCGGCTTCTTCCTCTTTCTCTATCTGTTTATCGGTCTTTTTCCCTAAAAACGCGCTTTTGTCTATTTGCGATTTCTCTGTAAATATGCAGTATATGTGCAGTTATGTACTTTATGAAACAAATCGCTATTGTCTTTGAGTATCGACATCTGCGTGCATGCGTGTGTATGGATCTCTGTGAACAGGCATGTGTCTGTGTGTGTATGAATGTGTCCTATCATGTGTAAAGGCAAAATAAAATTTTACTTGGATAATGTAGAAAGACAGCATGTTTCACTGAATGTCATTACCTTTTTACCTTAAAATATTTAGTGTACGGTTTTGTTCCGTCGTCCCCGTTATTATTGAAGTCTAGCTTCACCTATTCCATGAGGTGTTTGATATTTTTTCGTTTATTGACCTGTCGTTTTAATAAATATAGAATTCTAAGCTGAAAAAGTCCATGGAGCATATTCGTGCTTTGGAGGAGAAGTTGCAGAATGCCTTTAACGAGAATGCTAAACTCAAGGTAAAGCAGAAAGAAGACGAGAAATTATGGAAAGGATTGGAATCCAAATTTTCTTCAACCAAGACTCTGTGTGATCAACTAACTGAAACTTTGCAGCACTTAGCTTGTCAGGTTCAGGATGGTAGGTATAATTTCACAAGTATAATACATAAATTTTTAGATTATGTGGATGTTACTGCAGTAAAATTCGCAACTTTCTGTAACAGCTGAAAAGGATAAGGAGTTTTTTGAAGGCAAGTTATCTTCAAGCTCAGAAGCTGTTGATAGTTTGAACCAGCACATGCATGCTCTATCCCAGAAGTTACGTACAGCGGAGGAAACCATCCGAAATTGTAAGACGTTATCAAGCTTTTATGAAAGCAATTCAGACTGAGTATTAAGTTTTTTCTCTCATTTTTCAGGGAAGGAACTGTATACCTCTGATTTAACATAAATCTATTATATGTTTAATGGAAGTTAATTATTTATCTGCATGCAAACAGTTGGTGGAGACTCTATTTACATGGCTTGATTTGCATACTTTAACATGCTTGAATCATGCATGTAGGTGAAAAAGAACTGGATGAAATGAAAACTGAAAAGGAGGAAAAGAATATGTTTTACAGAAATGAGCTGGACACGACTGCCATTCTCATAAAGGAGAGAGGTAAAAAGATATTGTTGCTTTGTAATTGTAGGTCCGTATGGTATCATCTGCACCTTCTATCTCCAAAGATGTAAATAAATAGGATTCCAAGTCTACATATTTATATGGTCCAAAGACATTTATTTTGTAAAAGAGATTATAGGCTAATTTAAACGGGAATAAAGGTGTTTGGAGCTTGTATGTTTTTAAGACTTTCAAAGCTTCTCTCTCTATGCTGCTTTGGGGATCAGCCATTTTTATGTATTCTCAGGATTACAAATTATGCTTAATCATTTTCTACCACTTCATCTAGATATATCAGCTTTCTGAACACTACTAGGATGACAATATGAAATGAGGTTTTTTCTACTTCTCAATGTACGTGCTATTAAATTTGAAGCAAGGAAACTTCTATTGAAGTTTGTGCATGGCATATAGGCTTTTAATTAAGCTTGTTAATTCATTTCAGGAGCAATAAGTTCTTATTCTCGTAAATTCTAATGACTGATTTATGAAAGATGTGATTTCTTTTTCCTTTCTTTTTTTGGAAGAGCAGATGCTATGATAGAGAAGTTTGAAACAACTGTAGTTGAGGACCGACTGGCTAGAGAGAATGTGAACTCAAAATTGGAAGAGCTGCACCTTGTGTTAAGAACAAAAGAAGATGAAATTAAACAGTTATTCACCATTCAGGAGAACTTGGAGAAACAAAAGAGTAATCTTCAACTGAGCACAGATGAACTTGGTGATAAATTAGTTTTATCACACCAGGAGATTAAAAAGTTAGAAGATTTTGTTAGCATTTTTGCTACACAGTTGGTTGAATTGGACAAAGAAGGTCTAAATTTTATTGGAAAATTTGATCAGCTATGCACTCTCCATTGCTCTTACTTTAAGTTGTTCCAAGAGGAGAAAGATATTGCTGGTAGACTAGCACAAAAGTCAATTGATCAACTTCACGAAAAATTCTTGTCAGTGACATCAGAAAGAGATGCACTGCAATTCACAAACCAGGAACTAAACAGCAAGATACTTGAACTTGAGAAAGACAAAGAATCTATTATGACACAGTTCTCAGAGAAATGTTGCTTAGCAGGAGATAGAATTCAGAGATTGGAGTCTGAAGTAGAAAGTCTAGTCTTAAAGAAGACTGAAGGAGAAACATTGGTTTCCAAACTAGTGGAGAAAATTGAAACCTTGTCAGATAGTTTAAGGTCATCAGAGAACAAAACGGTCTGCTGTGTCTTTCACTCTTACATGCTGTATCTTAGCACGTCTTGTTGATATTCTAACCCTTGCCATATCTTGCAGCAAGATTTATTGTTAAAAATAGCGGCCCTAGAAATGGATAATGGAAACATAACAGACAAAATGCAGGCAGAAATACAAGGGAAGGAAGAAGAAATAGATGCTCTCCAGAAAGAGAGTGAGAAATATCATCTCCATGTGAATTCTTTAGAGAAACAAGTTAGTGACCTCCAAAACATCTTAGAAGAGAAGGAACAGCTGACTCTGCAATTGGAGGACGCTGAGAAGAAGCTGGAAGAGCAGATTAAAGAGGTTTTGGAAATATTTAGAAAAATATAAATTTTCACCCTCTTAACTTTGGTCATATTAGAAGATCCTGCATATTATTGCAGAATCAAGCATCACTGACTGCTGCAGAAAGTAAGCTTGTAGAAGCTAAGAAGCAAAATGAGCAGATGCTGGAGAGTAAGCAACTGGAGTTATCACGACATTTGAAAGAAATATCTCAGAGGAATGATCAGGTATTACCTTTTTCTGTTGAAGTTGTACAAACACCAAAAATTTTTCTAAATAAATTTCGGCTCATGGTTGGTGGATTTTCATAAGGCAATTAATGACATTCGGAAGAAGTATGAGGTGGAGAAGCTGGAGCTTGTCAACATGGAAAAGGAAAAGGTATGATCATCGTTATCAGTTTCTCTGATTTACTTTGCTGTTTATCATTTTTCACATATCTTTGGACATTGAACTCTCAGGCGGATGAAGTCATAAAAGAAATGGAAAGAAAATCTGATGAACAACTTGCTAAATTTAAAGAAGAATCGAGGCAGCAGTTGATACGAGTTATGGAGGAACATGCTGCTATGGTAATCACTAGATTAATACAGATTTAAATTGAAATTTGGTTAGTTATTCTTCTGCAAGTGATGCATATAATGACATTTGTTTTCCCATTTCATGGTATCAGTTGTAGCTTTTATTGTGTTCATTTGGCTTAGATTTACTTTCTGTTTATTTCAAGTACAAGTAGGTGATTATTTTTTTTTCCATATTAGTAATTCTTTGGGTAGTTTAATGACTTCAATGCACCTACTAGAGCTTGCGGCATTGGACTGTTACCAAACTTCTTTGCATAAGTTAATCTGCAATTCTAATTTAAAATGAAAGTAACTAATTAAGATAAAAATGCTCTGAATATTTGGAAGATTATCGTTTCTAGCAGGTATTGGGAGATTCTGATTTCTGAAAAAGTCTTACGTGGTTCTCTTGCTGTTTGTTGTTCATTTGCTGATACTTTGTTTCAAAGTATTCATCTTCAGAGATATTTCTTGAGATTGAGTTTTGCCTTGTGTGATGTCTAGGTTATTTGCATTCAACAAGAGCATGATAAGAAGGAAATAAATACTAAAGCTGAGCACAATGAGG